CCTTCAAGAAAGGCACTGGTGCTCTCTCAAACTGTAATTGTAATTAGATTTTGTAAGAGTTATAGATGGAGAAGGCAACAGAAGGCTTAGCAGTGGAATTGAAAATAAGAAATGTTTAATTACCCAGGTTCCTAAACCAACTAAAATAATCACAGTGTACATAGAACACTTGGTTACGTGGAGTAAGATACAGACAAAACGTTCTTATATGTTTTGTAATAACATAAGCTAAATATAGAAGTTTTGTAGACTAAAGCAAAGCTATCAGATAACACAGTCAATAACCCTCTCCTGTTAGCACCTCTCTCAGGAACTTAAGGCCCAGATATTGGTTACATTCTATCTTCTCGGGTAGCTTCAAATCAGTATCGTGCACGTAGTATATCATTATTATTGTGCATAACTACGGCAAGGCGTATTTGTTGAACATTTTACTGAACTGTGTACTATAGATATAATATCGATACAATAACAGGCTAGGAATTGTCTGGTAAGTCACTTCTGTATTAAAACGAAGTGTCTTTTTTTAATTTATCTCTTCAACAGGGAATTGTCTGGTAAGTCACTTCTATATTAAAACGAAGTGTCTTTTTTATATTTATCTCTTCAGTTGGGAATTGTCTGATAAGTCACTTCTGTATTAAAACGAAGTGTCTTTTTTATATTTATCTCTTCAGTGGGGAATTGTCTGGTAAGTCACTTCTATATTAAAACGAAGTGTCTTTTTTATATTTATCTCTTCAGTGGGGAATTGTCTGATAAGTCACTTCTGTATTAAAACGAAGTGTCTTTTTTATATTTATTTCTTCAGTGGGGAATTGTCTGATAAGTCACTTCTGTATTAAAACGAAGTGTCTCTTTTTAATTTATCTCTTCAATAGAGAATTGTCTGGTAAGTCACTTCTGTACTAAAACGCAGTGTCGTTTTTAAATTTGTTCTCTTCAATGGGGAATTGTCTGGTAAGTCACTTCTGTATTAAAACGAAGTGTCTTTTTTAAATTTATTTCTTCAATAGAGAATTGTCTGCTATGTCACTCCTGTACTGAAACGAAGTGTCTCTTTTTAATTTATCTCTTCAATAGAGAATTGTCTGGTAAGTCACTTCTGTACTAAAACGAAGTGTATTTTTTAAATTTGTTCACTTCAATGGGGAATTGTCTGGTAAGTCACTTCGGTTATAAAACGAAGTGTATTTTTTATATTTATTTATTCAATCGATAATTGTCTGGTAAGTCACTTCTGTATTAAATCGAAGTGTCACTTTTTAAATTTATTCAGTAGTAAACTTTCTTGTAAATTTTGCCTGAGTTAAAATTGTACGGTTTTCCTTATCTCTTCAACATAGAATCTTCTGGTAAGTCTCGTCTGTTTAAAAAGAAGTATCGTTTTTACATTGCATTTTTAATAGAAAATGTTCTGGTGTACCTAGCCTGTGTTAAAATCGTGGTTTTTAAATCTTCCAATATATCCTGTCAGTCGTTGTATCATGAGAAAACTTAAACTATACTAAGCCATATATATAGTACAACTTTAAGACTCCTTTGTCTGTCTCTTGAATAAGTATATTAAAGCGATTTCCTGATAGCATATAGATTTATAGCGCAACAGGCATGTTCCTATATCGTCTGCGTGAACGTGTTTAAGGGACTTGCTAGTAGCACATAGATTTACGGTTTAATAGACATGCTCCTATATTGAGTTTTACTAATAGTTTTTAGTTTAAAATTGTCTTCGATTCAACAAAATAGAAATGTTAATCAGCTATTCTCTATCGAGTAGTATTAGATAGCTGTGTGTGTGATGGTTTACATTATTTAACTGACTTTACATAAAATTCTGAACTATTAAGACTAGAATATCAGACATCTATGAAAGTTGAATCTGCCTAATTTTCTACCTTAGCTTTCCCGTCATCAACTATTTCAGTCTCTATATCTTAATTATTTCATACAATATGAAACAAACCGTTACAATATCCACACCTGCATGTTACAGTCTGTAAACCGTAAAGTTTTCCTACGTCATCAAGCAAGCTGGCATAGTCTTTATACCTTATTGTTCTGTACTTCACCAAACAAACCATTACAATGTTTAAATATATCTTTGTCTTTATACATGAACAAACAAATCATTACAGGCCTTACACCTTATTCTTTTATACGTAATCAAATAAATCGTTACAATATTTTTACCTGTATGTCTTTTTTCATTAACAAACAAACAGTTACAATCTCTAAATCTGTATGTCTTTATACATTACGAAGAAATGATACAGTCTCTAAATCTGCTGTTTTTATACATTACAAACAAACTGTTACAATCTCTAAGTCTGCTGTTTAAACACATTACGAACAAACCGTTACAGTCTCTAAATCTGTATGTCTTTATACATTAAAAATATACAGTTACAGTTTTCTAAATCTATTGTCTTTATACTTTAGAGACAAACTTTCATAGCTACGCTCAAATAAACCAAAAACATTACTTGTATATCTGGATTATCATTAAACAGGAAAAATAAACCGCTGCAGTCTCTGTAATTATATAATCAGAACTAAACTATTACAGACTTCACGCACTGACAAAAGGTTTCAGTCTTAGCACTACTATCTTCAACTGCTGAAATTCCTACCTTTGGGCTACCAATTTTTCAATCGTCAGCTAACAACCAGACTGAACCATTACATTTAGTGTAACCGTTATTTGGGTTTAATCAAAGCGTTCATTAGAAACTTTCAGTTCCACAACTCGCTCTAGCGAGTAACAAATATAACATAGCTATATTACCTGTAGACGAAAATGAGAATAAACATATATACATTATTAGCTAAAAGCGCTTTTTACCCATACTTGATGAAGAGTGCAAAATGCAAGTAGTATTGTTACACGACATTGTCACACATCTTTTAAAAAGACTTATCTATTACACTTGGACAATAAACATTGTTGAATTCTAACAACCACACTGCCCAGCAAATCTAAAACATCTAGAACACACTTATTAAGTTTATAACAATGGCTTTGTTGTACAAGCAAAAGTACTAACTGTACGTCTAAATTCCTCTACAATCACAAACGTTTGTGTGAAGAGGAACACGTATATTGTACGGTTTTCAGCGACTTTAAAAATTGTTTTTGTTTTGACACTATACACACTCAAAAACTCTGTAGTTTCCAGATGTATCACAAAAAAATATTGTATACGCTCTAGTTGTTAGAAAAAAAAGAGCTAAATAAATCATAGTTGTCTGATTTTTAGATACGTCACAAACTGGAATTTTGTGTTTTTTACACGGTTTCTGGCATTTTACCAAATGAATGAATTTTGTATTGTTTTCGGATACATCACAGACTGGAATACTATATTTTTGTACTATTATCTGGTATTTTACAAATATAACTACTGTATTGTTTTCAAACACTCCACAACTTGTAATGTATTTTTTGTACTGTTGTACGGGTTTTCAGGTTCTTTACAAAGTGCAGCAATGTTTGTTTTAATAGAAAGTTTCCAAGTAAAATATTGTGTTTTATGATTTCCAGGTATTTAACTGTCTTCAATAGATTTACGAAGTTATAAAGAGTGTAACATTGAACAGCTTTTGGTATTAACTTCAACGATTTCATTGTTAGGTGAGTTTCACCAGAAAATCTAGTTGGTGCAAAAGTTTGATTATTGTAAAACGTACATTAACATTTTAAAAAAAGTGTTAGCTTCTAATAAGTATTTTTGAAGAAGTTTGTTGTATGAATATTTTCTCTATTGACATATACTCAGGACATTTATTACAATAAAACTTCATAGAATTATTGTTACAAATATGGGCTTGCGTTCGAATCTAAGCTGGGTTTTAAATGTGGCGTCCTTAACGTTTTTTTTTTTGTTTTTCGTATACTAACAAAATATAAACATGTGATATTTTATTGCTGTCATAACTGTACTGATGGTCAGAGTACACAAACGACACAAAACGAGAAACTGTCTTCGACAAAAATATCCTGTTACACGTCCAGCATGGTCACTATTAGACGAACGCATAATGAGCAAATAACGAGTTAGGGACAATGTTCTGAACATTTTTACGAGCACTAGATTCGGTTGGCAGACATCGTCATCATCGATTTTCGGACTCTATTCGTCACTTTATCCATACGAACGATCCTTCATAGGATTTAGGTAAACCTTACTTCATCAGGCCTCCCTGCAGTGTCTGATGTTCCAAGCTTTTAAAACAAAGGCTAAATTTGGCAAACTACTTGATGAACTTATTTTGCGGAGGAGCTGTATTACAATCGATTAAGTCCAATAGAACCAAATATGGGTATATATATAAAGGCATATACTTTAAATATAGATGTTTCCAGCTTTCTATCTAATAAGTGAACATAATCTTTCTTGCATTGTAGCTGAGAATATTTATTTCAGAATTCACTCCCATAGCTCCCATATATGAAGATGCCATTCATGGATTTTTCTGCTGTTCTGAATTTTACATCTTAAATGAAGAACAAAAAATTTTATTTCTGCATATATACATTTTCTACAAACCGAAACCTTTAAAAACAGGCTGTTAGAAGCTATTGTAGACTCTTTGAGCAATTAATGTTGCATGTTGTAAAGTTTAAGTTTCTGAAAACCTGGTATTACGGGTTTGAAGGGTTTGCTGGGAGGCCTGCTCCATGTTTGGGTCATATCATTCTAATCATTAATACATCAGTCTGCTGTCAATTTAAGTGCATTAAACAGTACTTTAAAAAAATTAGCCGATACATTGTTACTTTGATTGTACTTAATTATTTTACACTGTTAATTAATACTTTTAAAGTAGAGTCAAGTAGTGTTAATGTTAAACTCGTGTTATTTTGAACTTGGTTCAATGTATACTTGGTTTTATTTCAATAATAAATAATCTCAGACTGCCTTACCTTAACACATTTTTAAATATTAATCTAGAGTTAGGATTACTCCCATTATTATTAATTTCTGCACTACATAAAGTATTATTGAAAATAATTATTGCTTACCTGTAGCATCGTTTAATAAATATCTATAAAAGCGATCAAATCACGATTAACTGTAGATATTTTTTATATTTATTGTTTTTAATTAGTCCTCTACATATTTATTTTCACGCACCTTGAGTTCAAAACCTGTGAAAGACCGACAAGAAGAAAAAAATCAGCTGTCAGGCCGATCTTATTCCTTTTGTTAGGCTTAAAAACCTCAATGTTTCGCCAGCTTAGGTATTTTGCATACGTTTCTCTTCACACAAAATAACTGTTACCATGGTAAGTCACAGGACAGCTAACTTGCCATGACCAAGGCTGCTGTAAAAAACAAATGTGATCGGAAAATAACGGTGCAACTTTTCATACATCACTCAATGTTATTTTTAAAATACTAAACATCAGGTCCTGTTTAAGCATGTGCCTCAAATCACATCACAGGTGTAATAGAGGATGTAATTTTTACCCACCCTCCGCGTGTCTGCCGCCCAAATGTGTTTGAAACGTAATACATCTAATACCATTTTTGTGTTTCGTTTCAACACACTTACCCAAGAAAACATTAAGAAATAACGGGCTATTCTAAAGAGAGTTGACGGCGTTCTTACACACTGTTACTACTACTAATAATAATAATACAAGTGAAACGGTCGTTGATCTAGTTTCTCGCGTCTATGAAAGTGCAAATAATCATTACTAATCAGAACAGCTGTGTCTTCCGTTACAAGATGCTATCGGGTTGAGCACATGGTCACGGATCTTACAAGATACAATATCGTTTTACGTAAGAAATAACATGAACGGAAACACTTATAAGATAGCGACATGCAGCGATAAAAAGTGACTAAAAGATGTTCCAACAATATTTAAAATTACAACATAGCCTGATAGACAACAATATTTAAAATTACAACATAGCCTGATATACAACAATATATTCTAAAACGACCATATACAAGAGGAAAAGTTCACAGCCTGGCTACACGGCTATAAATATATTAAAAGACTTATTTCACAATTCACATTTTTCAACCTATTCTATTGTATTAGAGTATTATAAACATCGACACAACTATATATAAAACACAGTTACACTTAATGACAAATCTACAAACTGTACGTCACATAAACTACTATATATCTAAAAACTGTAAAAAAAATCCCTTTCTTTAAGTGCTTACAAATCTCATGTCTTGTAAGTTCAATCTTACCTTAAAACTATATGACATTATCGAAAGTTTGAAGAGCTGTCGTGGTTGTTTCCAAAATATAAACAACTTTACAATAAACTATGTTTTTCCACCAAGCAATAAAATACTAAATATTTACACCGCAATATCTATATCAAAATACTCTTTATTCATGAAGCTATGGCAAATTACACTTGAATACCACGACTATAAAATAAACACGTGTTTGTACGCTAAGCACAATTGGCAAGATGTTAGGTGTGTTTATGATCAGGTGAACGTATTAAAGTTAAGTCAAATTGATTTAGTATATTTTTGCGAACTGAATATGAGTTTATTTGTCCTGGATTATTTCAGGTATATATTTTATAAATAAAATGGAAACAACTTCAATCCTAACATTAACTTCATGCTTCACTTTATTACACATTGACTAAAGGGTAAATAAAACATGTTAAATACCCATTACCTTCTGCATCCTTTAATGCACTTAAAAATCTGAAAGGATTATAGATCAGAGAAAACAGATTTCGTTAAAAACAAAAGTAAGAAGGTTCCCTGTACAATCCGCAAACTGTTTGGAGATTCTTAAGAAGTTATATTTGTACCTTTCAACAAGTATAACATGTTTACACAACAATCTTTAAATCACTAAGTAAGTAACGACTAGACCACACATCTCTAAAAGTAAGGAATTCTTTTCCACCAAGTAAACCAATATCACAGACTGAAATCAAAATCGTCAAGTGTCTTTGTGCCTCAAGATGTCTAAAAGGAAAACTGTATAAGTAAAGAATAAGAACTAATCCATAATTAATCATAGAAATAATAATAAAGGAAAACGTTCTATATTTATGGAATATACAACTTGAGAAATCTAAAATTAAGATCACAACACTTCCCGCCTGCAGTTAGTTTCTGTTGAGATGATAGTCAAACAGTTATACATTTTATTAGCGTTAAAAGTTTTAACTTGGAAATCATGAAAAACATTTCTATTCCTATACACTTTAATTTTACAATCTTAGAAAGAACTGCACAAACAATGGAAATATTCCATAGCGTCGATGTTCTTATACGCAATCCACAAAAAAAAACTGAAAAACTTCAACTATTTTTGCATTTAAAAAATTGCGAATGTGAGATTTATCAATCTCAAAAAGAACTGCACAAACAACAAAAATATCCCATAGCATGAGTATTCTTACAGATAATTCACGAAATATCGAGAGAGAAAAAAACACGTTTAATTTGTTCATTTAAAAGTCCGTAAATGTAAGATAACGGTTTCAAAATATTATGTGCGAGAAACCACCGTATCTTTGAAGCTTAACATAAATTACAGGACTCAAGAAATGGGAAACTTAAACATAAAAAACTATTCTCCTGTTTTTCATTCATTTATTCGCCGTAAAAAATAAGTAAATCACCACTGACATAATATTTCATGTAATTTGTTATCTATGTAAATTGTTTTCATATCTCCTGTTAAGGTTTCGGAAATGCTTTTTATTATTTCATCATAAAAACAAAAACTAATAAAATGTGGTGTGACAAACAGCACATCACATAGTAAGGGTCATTTTTACAAAATAAATTTGAACAACATCAAGATCAGAAACAGATGTTCAGTGAACCGCACTGGCATAAAAATATCCATATATATATATATATCAATATATATATTTGACAACACTTTCGAAATATTCCTATACTACTTAGGTATTTTTTTTGTGTGTTTATCTTTTTATCCACAATAATATATACCAAAAAAGACGACTATAAAATGTAGTAACAACAATGAAAGTTCTACATAGCTACCAAAATATCTAGATTGTTTCAGAAAATAACAAAGAGTTATCAGACAAACTTGGCCAATAAAATCAGCTAGGCTAGCTGGGACGACAAAACTTCAAGAGTCCACACCTCCAACCAGAGAAGCTCAAGAGCACGAAGTCAGAACGTTATCATCATTATAACGCTTCAATCGGTTAAGCAAATATTTCTACTAAAGATTTTTTTTTATTTTACATAACCAAGCAACACGTTAAATACAGATACCACGGTATTTCACCCTTTGCAGGACAAGCAGAACAAAAACGCTGACCTATTGCAAGAATAGTCATATGTATCACAGTCTTCCGACTAGGTGTCTCTCCGGTGTCACAACAAAAATAATGACGTCACAAAGCATGCTGAACCGGAAATGACGAACCGCTGACCACAGGATGCGATAATCCAACCATGTGGTTGTTCTTGGGTTTAAGTCAGAGAGGAGAGATAAAATTTCAATCCTAATAGAAAGAAACAAAATTATTTTAAAAACGGTAATTTCATAATATTTCTTAATCATAGTAATACAGTAGAATCTAAGACGTTACTGTTAATTATAGTGTTTGACTGTAATATGGTTCCATTATAAGTATTGTGTTGACAGTATTTTTACTCTTCGAAATTTGCCACTAGATTTAGTTTATAAACAGATAATTTCGCCAAAAAATAAATCGAAATAAACTATTGAAATATTTTATTTTACTTGTTGTTACTATCGTAAAGTTTAAGCACTTTCGGCTTTCATAAAAAAATTATATTAATTTAAAAAAAAACAGCATCGGTTCTTCAATATCTTTAACTAGAATGGTCTACAAATATCTTCCAGTAGTGTTAAAAAGACAACGTGAGAATGGATATAAACATTTGATTTGGTTTGCTTCGAATTTCGCGCAAAGATACACGAGGATTATTTGCACTAGCCGGCCCTAATTTAGCAATGATATATAGAGGTAAGGTAGGTAGTCAACATCACCCACCGCCATCTCTTGGGCTACTTTTTACCAACGAATTGTGGGATTGACCGTCACATTATAACGCTCTCACGGCTGAAAGGGCGAGCATATACGGTGACTTAGAATTCAAACCCACGACCCTCAGATTGCGAGCCGAGCGAGTCAGGAACTAGAGAAACGGGGTGAAATTATTCTATCACCTCATCTAGTAGATGCAGGTATTGAATTTACCTTTTTTTTATCTTAGTGAGAATGTGTGGATGTTGATTTCAAGAGTAAGAGACGTGCAGCAAAAAATGCAGAAAAAATATGTCCAGAAAAGTAGTGGATAGTTTATTTTCTGATGAGTTTAACCTGATTTTTTTCAAACTTCTCTAAAATATAGGTTAACTAGATCTTTTAATAAAAACAGAGATGAAGAAAACACATAACAAGTTTGGTGTTTTATTATCGGATTTGATGTCTTATTACTGCCAGCCAGAAACCATTTTGGTGAGATTGCCTTGGAGTTCCTGAGATCGCTGAAATGGTATCAGCAAAAACAAAAGTCACTAAGCAATTAAAGTCCAGGAAAAAAAAATACAATATGGTGTTCATATCTAAAATAAGTATAGCAAAGTACTGAATTTTTTTATATTTGTTTGGGAAATTTCGATAAGAAACAGAAACGATGCTTTCAAATGAAACGAAATGTTTCCTCTAAAAAGTTCTCATCTATGTTTGTATGGTTGTTTTTCTTTCTTTTTTATCAAATCCCTTAGCAAATACATGTGATCGCAAAACAAAATCTCTTTGAAAAAAATCTCTCTAATCTTCATGCATTGGATAGGATCAATAAGTCTATTTTCAGGCTGCCTAACTGTCTACAGTCAAAGATTTAGATGAAGTTCTATAGATGAGAAGCTATCTTAACGTGCTATTCGCTGTTTGCTGGATCAAACAAACTACGCTTTAATTGGGTTGTTAAGGTCGTTTGGACCATCTCCGGCTTTGTAGTTCCCATGTGGCTCCTAACGAAGTCTGCTTCAGAACTTCTTGTGGACTTCAAGTGAGCATGCGCAAACATGAAACTGATCTCCCAAAAAAGACCGTATTCTGCAACAACAACTGGCCATAATAGCTTTATTTTATTTTATTTAACGCTCCATCCAAGTAATACATTATAACAAGAATGTAGGATACAGCAACCTCCACTCTAAGGGTAAAACGATGTTAATAATGACTTAACACAATTTGATTCTTTTTACTCTACATTGGGAAACAAAGAGTACATGTTATATAGATTTATATATATATATTGTAGTTACAAAACTGATTTATATTTGTTTATTACGCCTAGCAAAAAAGATAAAAAACGTGCACAAGTACGGTGAAACCAACAAAATTAACAAGTGTCAAGTTACATAAAAAAACAACCGATAAACCGTCAGCGTTTTCAACGAATGGATTCATCTTCCCAAGGGGTGATTCTTCCTCTAACCCTGAAGATAGGTCCACCTATCGAAAGCACTAGGGCCTTATTAGTTGTTTTTTTAATATGATTCATTAGCCTTTTTGATCTTACAAGTGTTTTAATAAGAAAACCAAACGTTCTTTTGATAAAATCGGAAAAATTCCTTTAAAACTGTAACATAAGTCAGTTTAGACAGAGTTTTAAAATTTCTAGATACACTTAAAGACAAGAGTGTAAATAAAGCTTCAAAAACTCGTTATAAACTTTGAGTAGATGGAACTAACTATGAAGCTCGGAATCAGTCAGTATAATAGAAATAAATACAATAAAAGCAAAGTACAGAAAGACGAAATCGTATACCAACTGCTAATGCTTCATTTTAGATTCTAAACCAATGGGTATTGAGAAAAGAAAACATGTTATATTATAAAAATAACTATAGAAATATCCAAAATTTATGCATTTGGATATCGTATAAACATTTTAGTATAATTGACCATAACAGTATAACTTACAGTAAAACAATGCGGAAAATTATGGAATATAGTGAAAGAATCCCGTATAGTAAAATATTGTGTTTTGATATCAGAATGTATAGTGAAACAATGAAAATAACGATAATGTACAGTGAAAAACAATGCAGATATTAGTATAATTTATAGTGCAAAATTCACTTAATGTAATTTCTGGCAAAAGACTGTGCCAATAATGACACCCCAGTGGCACAGCGGTATGTCTGTAGACTTACAACGTAAAGCACAGATAGCCCATTGTGAGCTTTGTGCTTAACTTCTAACGAACAAACAGAAACAATAATGACAGTAAAAATGACACAATAGATGACACTAACGATGAAAATGGGGTAAGTATAACCTTGTATGATTAGAAATTTTACACCGCTCCAAAGTTTTTGACTCCAAGTTTACTCAGAAAACTAAAGAATACAGTTAATGTACAATATTCTTCTATCGCTGCCGTATAATGTGTAGTTTGGAATATATTGAAGAATGTAAAATTGTAACCTTTAGTGTTAAATATTTATTAAGCCATATTCATTTGGAATGTATATTATTATAACATTCCTTTAAAGTTAATT